CGAATGCAACTATCAATCACCGTTATTTTTGCAACGATAATATTATTAACTAACAAAACATTCTGACTCTGTCATACACTCGCATGGGTAGCGGAGTGGGGGAAGGCCGAGGCGAGCTGTTCCGGCCGCTCGAAAAACTTGAAATTGACTTTTCAAAATGAAGCGCACTGGAAAAAATAACGTTATCTCGGCTTCTATTGAACCGAATTGCTTCTTTTTTTTTTTAAATTAAAGCTCTCAACAAATAATTAACAATTACATATGTTTAAAACCATTTGACCAAGTCGAAATCCATCTAAATTAATGTTTTATTTTAAGATGGTATATTCTCGTCGGTTTTGGGCGATATAATAATTTGATTAATTGTTATTTTTACTGTGTATGATTTTTATTGACAACTGTTTATTATAAACAAATTAATTGCATTTAACCTTTTTCATTAATGGTTATGTGCAAGTTGTAACGTTTGTTTTTTTTCGAAATAAACTTAATCGAGAAAATTCTTATTAATAATTTATTATGAACAATTTCGAATCGACATTATCATATAATTTATCAGTTTCGAACCATAATAAAAATATTAACATATCAACAGTTATTCCTTCAGTAATAAAAATCAACGAAGAAGAGATTTATTCTCCTAGGAAAAACGAACGACTATTCAACCCCGATGCGACGGAACTAAACGTTTTTTGGGGTAGCATAACCCAGAGCGAGGCCGAATATTATATTAATAAAACTGATTCGAAATTGTTCATAATAAATTATTAATAAGAATTTTCTCGATTAAGTTTATTTCGAAAAAAAACAAACGTTACAACTTGCACATAACCATTAATGAAAAAGGTTAAATGCAATTAATTTGTTTATAATAAACAGTTGTCAATAAAAATCATACACAGTAAAAATAACAATTAATCAAATTATTATATCGCCCAAAACCGACGAGAATATACCATCTTAAAATAAAACATTAATTTAGATGGATTTCGACTTGGTCAAATGGTTTTAAACATATGTAATTGTTAATTATTTGTTGAGAGCTTTAATTTAAAAAAAAAAAGAAGCAATTCGGTTCAATAGAAGCCGAGATAACGTTATTTTTTCCAGTGCGCTTCATTTTGAAAAGTCAATTTCAAGTTTTTCGAGCGGCCGGAACAGCTCGCCTCGGCCTTCCCCCACTCCGCTACCCATGCGAGTGTATGACAGAGTCAGAATGTTTTGTTAGTTAATAATATTATCGTTGCAAAAATAACGGTGATTGATAGTTGCATTCGTTTACATATAAAAGTTCAACATTTCGTTCGAATGTATACCAAATTTCAGCTTTTAATGTTTATAAACAAAGGCGTGGTGATTTTTTAAAAAAAAAAGCCTAACTTCGTTTCCAATATAGTTAAAGAGGTCAATTTTTTTTTAAAATTTGCGTAAAAATGCAAGGAACAAGATGCCGAAATTCGATTTGACTTACGACTTCTGGTTCGGCAGATAAGTCAATTTGTTTATAAGAATTTTCGTACACATTTATATCTGGTGTTTATTTTTCATGTCTTTATGAAAAAATTATTGTTTTTATTGTTGCAAATTGACTGGGAGGTCTCTACCTTTAATTTGCGCTGTGTCTGGTCTTCGTACGTTGAGCCAACTCAAAGTTATTTAACAATCACTAGGGGAGTGTTTTTTAATAAACAAATGCAATATCTCGATAAATAATGCACTTAGCGAGATTTTGAAAAATGCATTGGATTCTGCGTAACGAGGGCTACATTTTCTCAAGATTTCATTGCCGTAGCACGTTTTAATAAATAATTATAAACAATTGTAAAAACGGCCACTTTTAGAGGTTTTTTCGACCTAGAGAATAAACAAATGGACGAAAAAATATGAAAAAAATACCAGAATAAAGGTCTTGAAAATGTCTACAACTTTTGTTTGAAACATTTTATCGTAAAACTTATACTTTACGAGTTAAAAATTATAATATGTTTTTTTGCATTTTTAAAGGCTTATAAACAAAAACGCAGGAATAAAAAACAGTGGCATTTTATGAAAATTAGTTGTTTAGGGTACCCAGAATAAGAATCCGTCGTAAAATTCTGGTTGCGAATTTTTTTTTTTCAAAACCTTCATTGATTGGACTATATACATTATCTATAAACGGTCGGAATCACACTAATCAGTTAATACAATACTTAAAATTGTTATGATTCAAGTTATTTTAAAATCTGTTGTTATAAACTGTAATCTCATTCTTGAAAGAATCAAACGCTTATTCACAGACATTTTTTTAGATATAAAAACACAATAAGTATGAACGCATGTGCATTTACGCTCACTAAATTCGGAGAATTTATTAAATTTTATTTCAAGCTTAATTAAGCGTAAAAAAATCTCATTTTCCTTTTGAACGTCTACCACATTTGAGTATAAAGCATACAACCTGAGTGTTATCGTCACATTTCCCAGTCTTTTATAACATCATTGAAATACGCATTCAGGCAATTATTAATTACAACTTGAATCAACAAAAAATGTGATTTAATTATTTTCATACACCGTGTAGTACAATAGTATTTGCACCCAGTGTTTACAAAACTACGGGTTTCCACCACGTAAAATACCGTACAAAAGCGTTTGTTTAAACAAAATTAAATCAACGTTTCTCATCCCTTTGAGTATTTACGAACGACAAAAAAACTCGAAGATGCGCATCGAATTAAAAAAATATCTCACGCGGACAAGTTAGATGAACTTGTTCATGTAAGTACGCTAGAGCTGAGTTAATTAGTTTGTAATTTCTTCGTTCCGGAAAATTCCATCGCGACAAATAAAATCATTCAGTCTTATCTAATGGAATTGTTCGACTTTGATCAAGGCTCGTGGAGCACGATGAAAAACTGTGAAGCGCGCATCGAAATTATTCGGGCGTAGGTGAATTTGACGCATCGTTTTATTGCGAGAAAATATTTCGATCCCGATTAATTCTTTAATTGAGATAACTCGAGAATAGAGAAATAAATAAATAAACTGTAGAAGAGACAAGCGTGAAAATTAGAAGCAGCCAGGCGTTATTTAATATTTTTTTTCCTCGTATTTCTATCGGAAGCTTCGAGTCGATGTTCAATAACAATTAGCAAAAATATTCCACTCGCGCAATAATTGGAAAAAAACAAAAGAAAGTATATAAATCTCGAAACGCAGCGAGAGCAGCGTTGAAGAAAAGGGCCGCACAAAAGAAAGCATGAGAAAAGTATATAAGCAGCAGCACCCCGAGGAAAAGATCGTGATTGAGGAAGAGGGAAAAGCTCTGCCTCTGTACATGGGCGAATGCGCATGAAAAGCAAAGCCCGCGCACAAGAGAGAAGAGAATAGAATAGAAGTAATATTGCAGAGCACTTGATTCGTTGAACTTTATGTGTAGGAGCTCTGTTGGATCCGAGGGAGAGAGAGGCTCAGGGCGCGTATATTCGAAGCACTCGCGCGCGATACGTGTGCAGCTCTCTTCCGCGGGGGAGGGCTCCAAACAAAAGGCATGTACACTCGAGCACTGCCGCCGCTGCATCCACCCGCACAGATAAGCGCTCACGCACATGTATATGACGCGCGTGCAAAGTACCCGAAGTATCGATGCTTCTATTTATACACAAAAGCAGAAAAGATCATACGCAAAAATATTAAGCTCTCGCAAGCGCGGCAAATGCGTATATGTATATTATAGTGCCGAGGGCGAGCTTTATCGTACGTGCAGCGACTCGCTACGTACAACAATGGTATTATAGTTGCTGCACCCACGCACTCACACACCCGCGCTGTGTTTTTATCGCGCCAAAAGATAAGCGATCTTTTATAAACTTGGTCGAGTCGGCGGCGCATGCAGCAGGTACATACACCCGCATAAGCTATATACGTGGAGTTCAGTAGCTCGTTCATGTGTTTGTGTGCGTGTGAGTGCGTCTGTCTCTATGAGGCCTATTCATGCCTCGAGGGAGGCCCCGCGCGCACGAGACACGGAGAAAACGCTAGAGCACTCGCGCGCCATGACACCAGCTACTGTATACCTGTACCTCTGTGTGTTTATAAGCAGTTTCATTCTCTCACCGACTCTTTGATTTTTTCCCTGCCTTTTTCCCCCCTTTTCATTTCGTTCGACTCGACGCGCGCGCGCTTTTTCTTATGCGTACGGTTGTAAGCTTCGAGTGTCAACTAGACAGTGCTTTATTTGGTGTGTATGTTTGTATTATGTGTGGATCTCCCGCGATCCTCAAGGGGAGCATCGATCGGCACGTTTTAGGTACCAGTAAGACGATTCTGTACTTTGCTGCTTCAACAGGGATGCACGAGTTCGATAAAGCTTCCGATTCTATCTCAACAGTTTTTGGCATTCGCTCATTCGAAATTAAAATTAACGCGTAAAAAAATGTGATTGTCTCTCGCATCGATGACACTACTACTCCAAATTGCATTTTTTCCATGCATTGCCCTGATGAGTGAGTACTCCATGAATCGATACGAAATTTTTCACGATTGGTCGTTTTACAATTACAAAAATTTAACGAGCCAACTTCTATCTCATTCTCCGCGTTTTTACGATGTACATTGGTATAGCTCGAGGCACAATGTGTAATCCTGCAAATGCAGTTTAAATCGAATTTTTGCCTATATAGCTGCGCGCCCGGCTATAGCTGTGTTAGTTTCTGTATGCATGTATACGTGTAAGCTTGACCGACGGTCGCCACGCGAGATGCCCAGCCGGTACTGTATCGATCGATTGCTTATACATATTACTGTCTTGCATAGACTTTTCTACTATTGGCAAAAAAATGTGTCGAACGATCGAATCGCGATGCTGTGTAGTTCATCGAACGCAGCTCAGCCTCGGGTCGGATTTCCTTCCTTCCACGCGCGCGGCACATTTTTATTTCGACAACATAGCATTGCAAAATGTAAACGGATAAACAGAAGTGAACAAAATTTAACAAAACGTTTGTTTGATTTTCCAGGCACGGAATCGCATCCTCTTTGTAAGCGCAATGATCGAGGCATCCTCGTCGAATAAACATCGGCAACAGCAGCAGCAAAAACAGGAAAAGCATCATCGTCGCGAGGCGAATCGAAGGAAGGGGAGCAATCGCACCGTCAGTCACTTGGACGACTCGCAGCAGTGCTGAGAGCAGCAGCAGCAGCAGCAGCTGCCTGCACCCGACGCCGTTACGAAGGGTCAACGAGATCCAAGCACTCCTCCGTCTCCTGTTACTCCGGTGGACGACAGTAGCAGCAGCGCATCAACAGCAGCAGCAGCAGTAGCAGTAGCAACAGGAAGGATAGGTTGGCCGGACGAGCACTCGAGGGCTGCGGCCGCGGCTGGCGCGAGGAAGCGGAGCAATCGTCACAACAGGAGCAACGGAGGAGGACAGCAACAGCAGCAGCAGCAGCAGCAGCAGCAGGCCACGGCCGGCAACGCGCCCAACAGGACCAATAGTAACAACGGCGCCAGCGGCAACAGGAGCAGCAACCCTAGCGCGTCAACGACGACGAGCAGCGGAGGAACAGGGGCAGCAGCAGCAGAAAAAACGCCTGCGGCAGCTGACATGACGACGCCAGTCATGGGCTACGTGTCGGTGAAGGACTTTTACCGCGACAGGTCCATCTTCATAACCGGTGGCACCGGATTCATGGGCAAGGTCCTGGTCGAGAAGCTGCTGAGGTCCTGTCCCGGCATCAAGAACATCTACCTGCTGATGAGGCCGAAGCGCGGCCAGGACGTGCAGCAGAGATTACAGGAATTGCTCAATGCACCCGTGAGTTTATCTTTATCTCTATTATTATCATTATTATTATTTCAATCGAATGCGTTGATTTGATATTGCTCGGAAGTATTTACCGATTGCTCGTATTCGCACGAAATTTACATTACGCAACACAAAAGAATGTCCGGTTCATCGGGCTTAAAGAAACAAAAAATCATTCCGAGTACCGAGCAACATTCAATTATTAGAATCCATCAATTTTAATTATAATAGCGAATTTTGGTTGGCGCTCGACTAAAAAGTAAGTAAACATTGCGACTTGAAAAAGCGATATGCGCTTAGTTTGTTATGTTCGTCGTTATCTTCAAAAATACTTTTCATACAGCTCATCGACTATAGATGTCGTATGGCCAATACCCCCAAACAGTCGAATTCAATTTCGGTTATATGAGAAAAGAATAGTGCCTCCTTGAACAGTTACAACTGCTGCCGAAGAAACCAAAAATTATTCGACGTACCAAGCAAAATTTAAAACGCAGAATTCATTGATTCTCAATATAAATCGCGAGCCAATATCCTCAACGTATGATCGACCCGTTGAAATGAACTGTAAATCTGTCCTCGTTGCAGCTGTTCGATAAGCTGCGTCAGGACACGCCGCACGAGCTGCTGAAGATAGTGCCGGTGGCCGGCGACGTGACGGAACCGGAACTCGGCATATCCGTGGCCGACCAGGAGATGCTCATCCGATGCGTCTCGGTGGTCTTCCACTCGGCCGCCACCGTAAAATTCGACGAGGCGCTCAAGCTCTCCGTCACCATCAACATGCTCGGCACCAAGCGCCTCGTCCAGCTCTGCCATCGGATGCACTCGCTCGAGGTAAGCACACGATTATCGTATACATTTGAAGCGGAAGCGGATGCATATATCGATTAACTCATTGTTTACGTATAGGCACTGATTCACGTGTCGACGGCGTACTGCAACTGCGACCGCATGGACGTCGAGGAGAAGATCTACACGGCGCCCCACGACCCCGAGCAGATAATCCAGTGCACGACGTGGATGGACGACAGCCTCGTGGAGGAGCTGACACCGAAGCTGATCGCCAATAGGCCCAACACCTACACCTTCACCAAGGCCCTGGCCGAGAGCATGCTGCTGAGGGAGGCGGGCAGTCTGCCCGTGGCCATCGTCCGGCCCTCGATCGTGCTCTCGTCGTTCCGCGAGCCGGTCGCAGGCTGGGTCGACAACTGGAACGGGCCCACGGGCATCATCGCCGCCGCCGGCAAGGGCTTCTTCCGCACGATGCTCTGCCACGAGGACAAGGTGGCCGACCTCGTGCCCGTCGACATCGTCATCAATCTGATGATCGTGGCGGCCTGGCGCACCGCGATCCACCGCAGCGACACCATCCAGGTGTACAACTGCAGCACCGGCCAGCAGAACCCGATCACGTGGAAGCACTTCGTCGAGCTGGCCTTCAAGTACAGCCGGCTGCACCCGACCAACGGCGCCATCTGGTACCCGGGCGGCCGCTGCCGCAACAACGCCAGCGTCAATCGGGTCTGCGTCGCCTTCCAGCACCTGGTGCCGGCCTACGCGCTCGACTTCCTGGCGAATCTGCGCGGCAGCAAGCCCATCATGGTGCGCGTCCAGGCGCGCCTCGACAAGGCCGCCAAGTGCCTCGAGTACTTCAGCACGCAGCAGTGGAACTTCAAGGACGAGAACGTGAAGCAGCTCGGGCTGCAGCTCAGCGCCGACGACAGGCAGACCTTCATGTTCGACGTCAGGCAGATCGACTGGCCGTCGTACCTCGAGAACTACATACTCGGCATCAGGCAGTTCATACTCAAGGAGAGCCCCGACACGCTGCCGGCCGCCCGGACACACATTACCAGGTACACGCGCGCGCACGACCCGCTTAACTATATTATGTGCTTTCAATGGAACCGAAAGAATCTCGTGCATCAATCCCCAGTATAATACTGAGTGGATGAGATTGAACTCGAGATTTTGACCGATTTCTCGTCTAGTGCTTCCGCTCGTAAATTATAGATAGTTACAGCTACTCTCGTGAAAAATAATACACATGTTGAATATTTTCAATGAAAAACTAAAAATTTTCAATTCGTGTATAATTTTTATACAAAACTGAACAAATATTTTTCGTAATTGTTTCTGAGGGAAAAAAGCAGTCAAGGTTACTCATTTTAAAACCATAGTAAACTTGAATAACTTTAGTAAAAAAAATTAGTAGATGCAATATGAACCTGCAGTGAATTTTTTAACGGAATCATGTAGTTCATAACAAGCAAAAATTAAGTCTTTAAAGAACGATGTTAATGCGCTCCCACTAGATGTCGTAATGGATTCCGAACGTGAAAAAATAAAGTTTTGTACATATATTTTATAATATATTTTACATAATTCGAACTGAAGTGTATCTAAATTCATTTGACAGATAAGAAATTCGAAATAAAATTTGGCATTTAGAGTTATCGAATCATATAAATTTATTTTGATAATTCGAAATCCTTGTTAATTCGAAATTACAGCCTGCATTTAGAATTTAAAATTATCGAAGTTGTACTGTATATAGTATAATTCTATAAATCGCTACGGTTTGACTGTATCAAGATTCGAACTTAGTAACTGAGTAATAGCCCATCTGCAACACTAGGTTGCTACGAAAAATATCTGTCTAATAAAAGTTTTACGACAAATACATGTTCCATATTCCATAAAAATAATAAATATCTAGATATATTTTTGATTTTGCTCTAAAAATATAAAACATGCGTATTTTTTTACTTGGGTGGACAATCTCTAAAGTTCAATTTCGATGCGAAAGCTTGACGAATTTTTCCTCTACCGCGCTTATATCACGAAAAATACATAATAGTTTATTGTACACAGCCTTCGTCCCGTAGTAAAATTTCCAATACAATAAACACAGTCAAGTTTAAGCTTGAGCTTACGCATAACTTTTCATATTTCATACGTAAAGCACAATCATTATTGTATTAAGTAAAAGTAAGCAAAAAAGTCGGGAGAGATCGTAATCAAAGGCGAATCGAAGTAATTATTTTCTTTCTATTTTCTCTGTCCACTTCAGATTGTACTGGCTGCACAAAACCGTACAGATAGGCACGGTGCTGCTGTTGATGAGGCTACTGCTGTCGCACAGCAGCTGGGCCCGCAGCGCGTGGTTCAGCCTGCTCACCTTCGTGCTGCGAATGTGCCGCATGATTGTTTGACGACTCAGCAGTGCCACGTGGCCCCCGCAGAGGAGGCCCCGTTCATTATTATCCATTATAAGCAGCAACAAGCAGCAGCAGCAGCAGCAGCAACAGCAGCGACACGACAGCAGAAGCAGCGGAAGTCTAATAACGGCATCGGCAATCGGGCATATTGTTAAGGATAAGAGCAGCAGCCCCTACTACTACTGGACGACGTTGCAGCACTGTATAAAGCTTCGGATCGTCGGCGCCCTCGAAGCGCCGAAATCGGCGGCGCGTGTCCTAATCAAGGCAGCGGCGATCGCGGCTTGAATTACCGATCGCGCGTCTCTCGATCCGCCACTCTCGGTCCAGTTTGATTGCGCAATAGGAGAAGGAACACCGACGCCATCATCATTATTCGCCAGCAACAACACAGTCCAGCCATCAGTCATTTCACTATACAATATTATACAAAAAAAATATATAAGTTACGTCTTATATACCAGCGGCAGCAGCAGCAGAACAAGAGGATCATCGCTGAAAGTGAGAGAGAACAGAAGTTGTCTTCGAGTACGATGTTAAATATTATATACAATAGATGTGAAAGTAAGTCAAGTGGATGAAAAAAAGCTAACGTATACAAGCTAAACGCGAGAGTTATTATATATATATAAATGCGGTTTATTGAGGAGTATAAAGAAGAAACAGATACTATATATATGACGATATAACGTGGAAATAAAACATAATTAAAAATATCCCAAGCCACATTGCGCGTAATGTGGTTGTAAGATGAAAAAAAATCGTAGCTTCCAGTACCAGAGATAACAAAACAACATACACTCGCGGAATCGCGACTTTACAGTAGCGTCTACTCACACATCTACACCTATGACATACAAATTAAAAATACACTCCACACACGATACACAATTCACACAAACACATATACAAGCAAACATTGTCGTATCTAAAAGACAAATAAAAATAGTATACTATCTCACGCGTGCGAAATGACAACAATTTTTCCAAAAGCAACCGTTGAAATAAACAAATAGTAAATTATATTTAACACAAACAGCGCAAAAGCCAAGCTTCGTAGTGCGATTTTTGTAGCTTCTTCGAGCCATTATTACTGTTACATATTGTTGTTTATATAATTATTATTGTATCATTATTAAATAACGTATAATCATAATTGAAGAAATTATTGCGAAACATATATTTCCGATGTGAAAGAGAGAAAATTGTTGCGCGACGATTTTTTAAACGAGTCGACGCCGCACGTAAATGAACGAGTGAGAGAATGAAAGGATGATGAGTGACGTGTGTGCAGAATGCATGAACTCGAAGATCTTCTGGAATTTACTTATGCGATAATAATTGTGCGATTTCGTCGGTGTGGCGAGTGCAGCGAACTCTTTAGAGGCCGATATAATTCAAGTATGCTTCCGATTGTCCCAAATTGTAAAACTCCGCTTATACAAGCTAATGAAAGTCCCGTCGCGGTTGTTGTTATTATTATTATTATTATTAAATTTAATTACTTTTATTGTATTTTTTTTATTATTATTATTATCATTATTAGATATTATAGATCGGATACTTCCCGTCCGCTCTTCCAGCAAAATGTACGTTTACGTAAATAACATCGGACTATCAAAAACAAAGTGAAAATTCGATTTATCGACGGTTGAAATGAATGAATCATACTTATGATATCGAGTACACGATATATATAGATAGAGAGAAAAAAAAGTGAGGAACAAATGCACCAGTCAATTTTTTTTATGAGAAATAAAAGAAGAATTAACGACAAACTCGAGTGACAAGTTGAAAAGGCGAAAAAAACACGCATATAATATTTATAACAATATTATATAATAACAAAAAAAAATTAATAAAACAATACCGCATATTATAATATATGACGACTAAGATTGTTTTTAGCTGCGAAGGAAAAAAAACACTGAAAATAAAAGTAAAATAATAATAAATAATTGTTAATTTTTACGAAGAATCCATCGATTGTAATATTGCGAGTTTAAGCGACTGCGTTTTAAGCGATTATGTATTGTAGTACGGAGTATAATTATAAAAAATTCACACAGAAACACACGTTAAGACACTCAAAGCCCATACGTCAGCGTACACGATAAACATTTGATAATAATATAGCGTAAATTCGAGGCGTACAGAGGGATAGGGAGAGAGAGAGAGAGAGTAAACGCGCTTAGAAATCCGATTACCACGTAATAATGAGGAATATGATGATGATTCACGAGGCTCGCGATTCGCCCATTTTCCACGTTAATTAATTATCGGTGGTGCGCGTATATAGAAATCATCCAATCCTTCGGTGAAATTATTGATAATATACAGTACTAATTAATGCAGATAAAAAATAAAAGGAGGGACAGAACTTTTACGCCATTACGTAAGATACCTAGATGGATATTTTTTGCTACGTCCAGTATATTTCATAGAAAAGTTATTAATAGTGAATAATTTTAGGCGAGCCCATCGGTTCCAAAGTTAACAAACTAAAAAAAAACTTTCATAAAAATCATCGCAAAAAAACTGATGTCCGATTCTTCGAGGACACGCGTAGCAGCAGCAGCAGCGTGAGCGGCGTCTCGCCCCCGTCGACAAAAAAGGGTATTTCGTTTTATATTAGAGGTAGTAAAAAAACCGCACGCGAGCGCGATTTTGCCTGGAAAAAAAATAATAAAAGCGTCAACTCGCGCAATTTATTTGGCACACGCCCGTTGCGAGAACTATGCGCGCGCGAGAGAAAGAGAAAAAGAGAGAAGTTTTTTCTTCGATTATTATAGCAATTCCCAGTGCAAGGACTATATTTAATAACGCCCTCGCGAAAGAGACGCTAACCGCGCGTGGGTCGATCGAAAAAGTAATAAAATCAATGCATAACGACGCGGAGAATGAATAATGCAGCCGTAATCGTAACTTCCAATTTGAATAAAGAGAGACATGTGTTCTTAGATACTAACGTTGAAAATACATTAATAGTCAGTAACGCGATATACATAATACGATAATAAAATATTGTCTGCTATTATTCGGATACACTCGTTGAAAGTGCATACATATGTATTGTGTGTCCTCGCGGCGCGCGGAAATTTCCCGCGCAAACTTGAGCGTGTGTGTAAGGAATTCGCGAATGCCCTCTCCAGCGGTTTGTCGCGACGAATTTTTCTCAAAACAAAAATTACGATAATGTACTGTACGTATGATAACGCGCATATGAACATTCGTTTCTTTCGCTTACCCCAAAAATATCTCTATGTATCTTACAGATCTCCTCAATCGTATAAAAATCGGGGGTGTCGGCTGTGTTTTCATCGAGCTTAGGTTTTTAAACGATTTTTCATAAAAGAAGCTTTACGTACACACACACTGCTCTCTGTGCAGTCGCTCGAATATAACGCAGATCGAAATTTGGCAATTTGGCCAATGTTGAGATTTTCAATTCGACTCGGAGCATCTGAAAATTGTCACGCGAGTAGAAGGGGTATATATGTAATTAATTAATCGATATTATAAAAAAAATTATTGAAATTCGGTCACCCGTGTCGCTCGAACTGAAGTGTACTTTCGAATCGCGATTGACACTTTTGGAGCGATTATAAGTAGAAAATTGTGTAAATAATAAAATATAAATACATGAATAACACGGAGTGAAAATGATACAACTCATATGAGCCGTAGTAGAACATAAAAGACTCTCGAATCACCAACTTCTACAGGCTGAAACTATTTTATTGGATCGTATCGTGTGAACAATACGATGCATCGCAAACGATAATGTGTACCAGGTAATATAGAGCAACTACTTGTGTGAATTATACGCGATTATACGAGCGATGAACGGATTAGCGAAGGAGCTATCAAAAGGGCTTATGTACGGGCTCTCTTTGCGTTAATATCGAGTATTATATTAATTAATTGCGCTATTGTTGCGGAGATCGACACGTCTAAATATCTCAGCCAAACTCAAGTTATTATAATCGACACATGAATTCCATTGAAACCTAATCGCGCTATACAAACAATTTTCGTATTTATGCTTGTAAATAATTATAAAATACGTAGACGTTCGAAAATCGATGTATGCATCATCGTCCATCAACGGGGGGGTATTGTTCTTCGGCAATATAATAGGAAGTTTTGAGTTGAGACCATTAAGGAGTAGCGATAATGTGTTTGTACAGAATATTTACGATTTCACGTTACGATACGCTTTAAATTATAAATAAGGTATCGAGTATTGGTTTTTACCGGCTTGCCAAATTGAGAAGTTAAAAAAAAAAGGCGACTTTCGATTATTCAGAGCACACCACACACAAACACACGACACACCCACACAAACAAGTGAATACGAGTGCAGAGTATTTGAAGATGAACAAAAGTGTTGCAAAATATTGTATAGAATTTGAAGTGCTCGGACTGCATTATTACTGAGCGAATGATTTTTATAAAATAAAAAAAAAGACGATGATTGGCGTGCTTTACGGGCACGAGATCTGTGTACGTTAGGTTATTCGTTGTTGAGTATATATTGCTATACTTTTTATTGAGTATATTTTATGTAGAGAAGCTATAAGTTGAGATTTATTATTGCTCTTGTTCGTCGGATGCAATATGTCATTATATTATATTATTGTCTTCGTTGCTGTTGTTCATAAATGCCAGATTATCATTGCGATGCGGCGATTATTATATTCAATTAAAGTCATCGGTTACAAATTATTTAACAATGTGTATATTAGCTAAATGGTATAAAAACTAATTTAAGGTGCATGAGTATCGAACATACAACGGCACAACTTTTAAACACGATGGAATTTGAAAAAAAAAATATGAGCGCGAGCTCGTCGATTGTTAAAAAAAGCGAGAAAGCTTGGACGCGTCTGAGACTCTGCCTTTTGTAATTTTTTCGGACTCTTCCGTTCTCATCGGAAAGTCATCGTCATCATCACCGTAAAGATGCACTTGATCAAATGAAAAAACGTACGTCATTCCAATTTTTATAACCGTGAAACAAAAGAAAATCAGAGAATCGAAAAGATTAGAAATTGAGATTTTCGTAATGTCGCGGGCTGCGAAACATCATCGATGCGCGTGTGCGACTATCCAAAAGCCGAAGTTAATCGGATTTTTGGCTTCAGATTTTTCACATCTTTTCCTATTCGCACTCTATTCGATCGTAATGAGCGAGTTTAACGTTCGATTTAATTTTAATACATAAATGCATTGTCGTCGACTGCAGAGTTTTCTCAGACATCTTCGAAGGATTGTGAGCTTAGTTCCGCGAGTATAGAACTGCTTTTCATTTCAAGAAAGAAAATGTTCACACAAAGTATAAGCGCGAACGTGTTTTTATCTCTTCCTCGATTTGTGATTAAGTTTTTGTATAACTGATGGTTTTTATATAGCCCAAGTATCGCTCGTTTATATAAATGTATTATAAAAGAAAGATTAAAAAAAATTACGTCGTTCGTTGCTGAAATTCTTTACAAATAGATCTTAAGCTAAAGGAAATTATTATAATTTTCTTTTTAACTTCATTATTATTACTTATTACTTTTATTACTATTATTATATTATAAAAATATATATGAACATAAAAAAATGTTATTACATACAACATATTTGGTGCAAGTGAGTTTTTATAGAGTACAATTAATCAATTTTTTTCTTTAAAGTTAGCCGATTGTAAGAGGAACTGTGAGAGCAAACGTGTTCTTTAAGAAATAAATAAAAAAAAATATCAAAGCTTAATGCGTCGCACGGATAATAAAAAAAAAATCATTGTGGAAGTGACAAATTGTTTTTCCTACCACCCTCTCTCAGAGATAATGCGTTCATTATAAAAATACATTATTATAAGGTAGATAAATCTTCCTCTCAAGTATACTTCTGTATAAAAAGAAGCTTCCAAAAGTATGACGAAGGAAAATCAATTTCCAACTTTGGCGATTTGTGAGCGAGAAGTTAGTTTAATATAATATACGTAATTACGAATGAATCAGAGAGCTTGAAAATTAAGCACAGGCTTCAGTCAGTGTGGTAAATCATCCTTCGACAAATGAAGACAACAGTTTTAGGATCTATCATTTTGACTGATAATTACCCAAATTCTATTTTACATTTGTCTCCTTGAATAAACGCTAAATAATGTCTCCTGACCGATCTTTCTAACTACGAATTTGTTGTATTACATGTTGTATAAAAAAAGCAAGAATAAACAGAACCACCTTTGAAACTGAAATAGCTTCCGACGCACTTCCCTCTCAAACTTGCAAGCTTGCGTGTATAGCGTCCTGCAACGAAAGACGAATAAAAATAAAGGAGAATTAGTGAATCCATTTTGTATATTTCGTGCCACTTGTTGCCTGTGCCTTTCAAATAAAAAAAAAGCTACAAATGATGATTGTGACGTTTGATGAGTTACTGGACTTTGTTGATACGTGTTAGTGCGTGTAATCGAGAAAAATATATTTTTTCGTTTTTTGTTAAGAGTGGGCTAGTCTTTAAGAAATCTTCCATTCCCTCGTTTGTTTTTATCTTTTATGATTTTTACTTATTCTCTTTTCTTTTTTTTTTCTTTTATTTTAATCGACTTTATAGGTACTCGATTGAGAAAATTGTCGTTCAACGCTGCCAAGAACATAATTAGTGAAATTACAAATGGCGAATAAACGTGTGGTTTAGTTGATAAAGCTAAATTGAGCAAGTACGCGCGATTATTGTAACGAATTGATATAAATATATATATAAAAAATAAAAAAAGACTTTGTGAGAGAACGAGAGAAAGAGTGATTATGTGAGAAAACGAAATGATAACAGAAAAAAAACAAAATACAAAAACAGTATAAGAAAAACATAAAAAAAATAAAAATAAATAATAATAAACAGTGAAGAAAGTGAAAAACGGTAGCGGTATAATAAAAAAAATGGTCACCAACTAGTCTCGCCTGTACTTACCCGGTCACACAATGCATACAAAATACTTAATAATTATTATTAATTTAATTAACATGGTACTGTACTATTATGAGATACATTAAAAACCGATGGAAAATTCAAAAGTAATCATTTACTAATTGTAGTTTTTTCATGTAACCTTTCAAAATAATATTTTCTTATGGTGTGGAAACCTTACACCCTTGGCTGCTGCAGCCGAAACATAATATTTTTTTTCATGTGGTAAGCATGAACAACAATTGTAATTTATTATTAAACAATTAACAGGTGTAAAAATGCGTGTAAATTATCGATAAAATATCAGTGTCCCGTGTCACGAGCATCACCAGCGCAGGAATATTAGTTTAATAATGTTTATTCAATAACTTTAGTGATTTTCATTAGAATTATAATTGGAAATGGAACTGGGGGTAAGTTTATCCATTGCATCCATCGCTTCGGTTTGACTATAAATCAATGTGTTTTGGACCAAATCGCAGCGTGAACTCGATCAATACTCGGGATCGTCGGCCTGTTACCGATACACACAGCGCGAATAAACAAGTCGCACGGGAGAGAAACGCCTCGAACGCGTCTACCCGCCGGGCTCTCGGCGTTCTCGCGTGTACCGAGCTCGCATGTGCTCGTGTGCGTGCTGTGCGCGGGGCCAAGCGCGCGCGGCAAATGACCCAGTGGCCCGTCGGCGCGTGTGCACTAACTCGGAGCATCGTCGGTGCGGATTGAAGCGCAGAGCCGGACACGCCGCCCGGTGGTGGTGCCATTTATCGATCTGCAGCAGCAGCGGCCACACATATACACGCGGATGGGCACCGAATAAAATACAGCCCCTGCTACGTAACAACTAATGCTGCGCTTCGAGACGAAAAAGGACGGGGGATGGATTTTTGCATCACCCCTGGTCTATATATAGTCGCGTTGCCGTAGACAACGACGACGACGCGGCCCTTCGGTCCCATATTTTTTTAATACATGCACGTGTATATCGAATAGTCATGCGGCATCTTTGCTCCGATATATGTATGGGCGTGTACGGTTAGAACTGCGAATTTTCGAAGCGGCTGCCTTACATGTGATGTATCATATAAACGACGACGCACGAGGCATCTCGGCGAAATTTTGCGAGCAGCCCTCCGCATTGAACGCACACAGCACGAGGCAGACACACCGCAGCACCGATGTTGTTGCCGCTGTTGTACACTGTGTGCCCCGGCACTATCGACTATTTCGCACGCGCTTCTCTCGTCCGTCTCTCAGCTGTGTGTATGCCGAGTTCGGCCATTTTTAGCCATTCGTGCGCCTCTGCACTGCAGTCAACGCGAGCGGACGGAGAGCTGCCTTTATGACACCGCATTATATAGAGACATTCTCCTCTTTCTCTCTCTGCGCTTTGCACTGCATCACACACAAGCATACATAATATAAAGTTCGTCCAATAAGTGTGGCATTGCGATAATTTAGCGCTTCTTTCTGTGTGCTCCTCGTTTGCTCCGTTGAACCAACGGTAAGTTTGTCATTCGTTCGTCATTATTTGTTCTGGCTTATAGGTACTTTTTTTAATGATAACAATTTTGTTGGTTAGATGTTTCCTTCTTTTCTTTCTTTTTTTTTATTTCAAGTTAACCTATTTACGTCTTCCTGTCGTTTAATCAGTTAATTTGCTTTATTTGTGGGCAGTTTTAGCATTGTTATCTTTTGTGCCTTTTACATTTTTGAAATCACGTTTACGCCCCTGGCTTTCTTTACCATAACAGCTGAGCGTAATCGTTCATTAGTTTTTTTCGTGTACTTCCATAATAAAGCATGTGTAGATTATTATTGAAATATTATAACTTTTGTTGCAACTGATTGATTGTATATTACAAGATGCATGCGGAAAAGCTGTTAATTTGAAGAGCAACAAGCGTATATCACGATTACGTAGTATTTAGTATTCACAAGCGATTTATAGAGTTTTAAATTTCTTACGCAGCAACCGAAAACTAGTAAACATTAAATTTGATTATTATCTTTTTACTTTGTGAAAATGAATATTAACCAAAAATCAATCAGTGCATAGTGTTTAACACATTTTTTTAATATTATGTAAATATGTTGCTGCATGTGTTTGAAACAAATTGATGGCGAAGACACATTTTCTAATAATATGCTCCAAATGTATATCAAAACTGAAACTGAAAGTCACTTTTTATCCAAAATATATGACCCTTGATTTTAAGTACTTCATTCACGCGACAGGTAGTATGCTAGTCGATAAAGCAGGTATCCATCGGGGATTCATGGCAAGGTACAGTTGTCAATCGTTACGAACGACTGTAGTTACATTCTTGCGACGTTTGAACTTGAAAATGACAAAATTGTGATTAACAGTTTGGCACGAGTTTGAAATTCATTGAAAATAGAAATATCGTTCGAAGTATGTTTTATGAAGTATTCAATCTAAAGACTATTAACTTTAAATTGCCGTCGCGTCAGGTGTGAAAAAATGTTTTGTTTTGAAAGCACAACTCAAACTAACGGGTATCGTGATAAGCAGATAACGATTGGGCTATAACGCACTCGTGGCACAACAAAGATCGGCATCGAAATATCAAAATGCTGCAATGAAAAAAATTTTGACGCACGGCTCATAAATTTTTAATGAAAATTGAGTGTTATTTAAAAATCTTTCATGCATAAATCGAAAATCGAAATCGTTATATTCGTCTAAATATAACTGTTGTATACTCACAATTAGAATATGTGAACTACCAAAAGATTCGATCGTATATTGAAAAAAAAAGACACATTAGTCCTCTCTCAAAAGAGGGGGTCATGTTGAGCAGCTTCAAGCCAGTTTCAAGCGCTATTCGACCGGCGATTTGAAGCTGTGTGTTAGCTAGCCAGCTAAATTGCCTAAATTGCCAACAAAGCCCCAATAAATATTATTGGAAATTTTTCCGTTCTTGGTTCGTAACGATCTCACTTTTTATTAAAAAAAAAATGTTTCAGATCGCAGCATTCGTAAAAATGGCCGAGGAAAGAGATCCACTGGCTTTTGAAACAATTGACATAAAGGATGAAGTCACCGAGTACAACGAAGAACCAGAGGTAATGCTTATGACTTTTAATATTTTGTCTGAGTCATTGGTAGATACTGTAAACTCAAACTTAAGATTTTGAGCTTGAAAATTCAAATTGTACAGTGCGGCGATCGTTCACAAAATAAAACACGCACGTGCCACATGAATGATCGATCGAGTTTTATTCAAAGTATACACGAATTAGTGAAGCTAATATTAAGTTTTCAATCAGAAGTATGAACCATAATCTTTCATAAAAAGTTTGACCTAGCCCAAGTACGGCTACCTGTATTTACCTTCTCAAACTTAATTATCAGCCTAATCAATACCTTATTTCTCATATATAATTTTATTACGCGCAGTTGATAATGTCAAACAAAGGCGGCCCGAAGCTCATTCACATGGGCTACATGTACACTCTTCACAAGCGTCAGCCGACGACGATACGCTGGCGCTGCGTGCTGAGAAGTCACCCTTGCCGCGGCAGCCTCATTACCAATCTGGAGTGCACCTCGCCCTTCGTGCGAACAATTCACGGCCACCCGCCGGATTACGCGGCGGCCGAGGTGGCGCGCCAACGCTACAAGACCTTCGGCGAGCCGATCTCCAACCTCTTTAATCCAGGTAAAATATATATTTTTGTTTTTTTTTTTTTTTACGAAAAAAAAACATGCCGATATCGATTGACGATCGGTCGATTACAATTGAAGTTTCGTATTCCTCGCAGATGGCACTTTGGCAGCGATTACGATTACGCAGAGGAAAAAAATGCA